ATTTTGGTAATTGGGTTCAAATTAAAGCATTGAAAATACCCAATAATTAATTTCTTTAATTATTGGTTTCACAGTCTTATTGTTAAAGACATTTTAATCTAACATTTCATTGGAATACGTAATTTAAATCCATTATTTTGTGTTCTGCATTGAGAAAGATTGGGAACAGCTCTTAAATTTCTTTTGTGTGACATCTTTTCAGGTACTTGAAAAGTATTATCATTAATGAAAATGATGATGGGTTTGATCCTGGGGGACTTGATAACTCAATTCAGTTCCATAAGGAACTAATTGTTGAGGACTGTTGTTTGAACTAGCTGGGAATCGCTGTATAAATATAATCCAACCCATACTTAACTAGTTTGCTAATCTGAATGTCAAGGGATACTTTATCAAATGTTTTGCTGAAGTCAGAACATTCCCACTGTCTAATAAGAAAGACACTCATAAAAAAATTGAAATGAGACAGTCCAACAAGACTAATTCTTGACAAACCGATGCTAACATCTAGTCATCACTACTGTGTTAAAGTGCTTCAGTTCCATTTTATCTTCTCTAAAACTGTCCCAGATATCAGTGTCAAACTGACTGCCATTCCTTTGTTCTTCTTTGTTACTTTCCTCCACTCATCTAATATTTCACCACTTTCCACAATTTCTCCAAGATAATGAGCAGACTTTCAGCCAAGCCACAAGCAAGCTGCTTCAATATCCCGAGATGAAATCCATGAGGATGTGAACTCATTCAAAAGTCAGAAGGTATTCCTACACTAGATTTTTATGAAGTCAGAGTTGGAATTGTCCTCCATCACCTAACTCTTCACAACTTACAATGGAACAATATCCCATTCTTAAATAAATACAGATGCATACACAGGTGCAACATTACATGTTCCAGTATCTGAAAATTATCATTAGGTTAAAAATGGTGGAGCTATAATTCTGTTATCAAAAGTGCAAAATTCTTTTGAGATCCTGAGTTATACCCTACCACTGTAGAAACTGTGATCAGTAATACAATAATTTTGATGTGCTCTATTTTCCAAACAGCTTTGTTAACCAGATTTTCTCCAAGCTATCAAATATTTTCATGGTCATTGTAAGCCAAAAGAACACAGAACAAAAATCTTGTTTGCTTCAGAAGGCTAAACTCTTAAATCCTCAGAACTGATATATAAAAAAAGAAAAAAAACCCCACAATATTCCAATCTGCACACTTTCATAGTATTTCACAGATAAATGAAAATTTAAAAATACAAACCAGATATTGCCCGAATAGAGATGCTTAGTTTCTATTCCCATTTTTCCTAACAGATGTACCTGCATAAAGACTTATAGAACACTGTGGGAGAAGGTTTAACGCTCTTCTCTCCTATCATAACCTAAGCAAACTGCTGAGAGAAAAAAAACCTAGCTATTTCATGCTAAATTTAGTAGCAGTAATGCACAGATGAGACTGGTTTTGAAGAAGCCTCATTTTATCCATTCAGCTTGAAAGCTACAAGCAAGAGCTCATAATCCATTCACTAAGAAAAGGCAGAAATAGGCCATGAGAATGTTAAACTTTTTTTTTTCTTTCATAAGCCATGATAATGGTCCTGGTGAGGGTATCAACAGTCAGAATTGCTATTGGAAAGATGGGAGCATCAATTTCCTCTCATACGCCTGTTCTCCAGTTTGATGAGAGAATTCATGACTGGATCCCTGCCATACAGGATGTACTCAGAAGTTAGGGTTTTCTACCCAGAGAGAAAAGCAGTACAGCTTTGTAAATGGATCCAGGTCTTGGAGGCAGAAAAGGCAATGACTCAGAAATCTTTACTGTTTTCCAAGCTTTCAGTAGCCAGTACAAATCCTGATGAATGATTGATTGGAGAAAAACAATTCTCACCTTCCTTCTGCTAAGGATGTAAAATGTGCTTGTGACATTCTCAAAGAGTTGCCATATATTTATTTTGAAAGGGTACCAGATCAATACAGAAAATACTGTTCTCTTACATCTAACTCAACTTTCCTCCCAACTGCAATTCCCAGAATATCCTGCCAGGGAAAAACAGATTGGTCAAAAATGCCTCTGTTCAGGAATGTTCCACAAGCTGTATGCAGTAAATCTGAATTAAAAGCCGAGGGACACTGCGTCCACAAAGAACAAGAAGCACACACCATGCCCAAACAAACAGAAGTCAACTAACCTGGCCAATCTTGCAAGACAAAATATACTCAGACAAGTAAAACAGCTGTCTTTCCTTCCTACTATCTCCTCTAGCCCACCAGGATGGTCTCCAGGACATTCCTAATCGCCTCCAGATTTCTTTTTTATTTTTCTAGGCAACCATCCATGTTTCAAACTGAATCATTGGGCTGCAGCCATCCACCATTTTTGTCTTCTAAGAAAGCCTTTTAGCCCTCATGGAGCCCAGAGGCATTCTTGGAAATAAAGATGACACAGATGCCAACACTTGCCTTTGCAAAACACCAAACTCCCCTCAAGATACGAAAAGGGATTGAGATGAGAAGCCAGGCGGTTTCTCAAAGCTGTGCACCTGGCACTCCGAATTCAGAGGACTAAGGCAACCCTATGTTTTTGCAGGGGCTGGCCTTGCAATTTAGCCAGTAATTAGCATGCTAAAGAGACTCTACCTTGAACTCTTATTTTTATAAAAGCTCACTAATTTTTTTTTTAAAGCAGAGATGGCTAACAACAGATTAAAGGCAGATTCATCATTGCAGGTTTACTCAGCCAAGTTGTTCTGTGTGGACTCTTTGCTAGCCCTCACTGCAGTTTCATTCATTTAGGCTTCAAACGAGTGGAGGTTGTCTCTCCCCAGAGTTTTTATGCCTCGGTACCACTTTAGGCAGCCCAACGTGGGAGATGTATTCACAGTAAATCACCAATTCAAAAGGAAAGTGCATCCACAGGGGCGGTCGCTAAGAAATCAAGGCCAGAACTTTCTCTGCCTTCAAGAGTTCCAAGCAGCCTCCAGCAGCTTAATGGAAAGAAACCAGAGCAGCTAAGTGTTTTCTTTTCAGCCACTTTCAATGAGAGTTGCAGTGCCACACAAAGGAAGAAAAGCCAAGCTCTTGTGCAGCGAGGAGGGGGGCAGCGGCACCTGCCAAAAGCAAACATGCTGAAAGAGACCCAAACTCATTTTAAAACCTAAACACATTTCAGCAGGGTTGGGCGGCCTTCTGAAGAGGCTCTTGGGGACTTGATGTGCTCTGCATCTTTCCGCAGTGCCTGGCTTTAATCTGTTGATTCTTAATGCACCTCTTTGCAAAAAGGAGGAATCTGTTACACACAGCCAGAGGGAAAAAACACATGCCGTTATCTAGGGTCACCAAAGCTTAAAAGCAACGCCACACCATTCTGTAGGACAGCTGAGGATTCTCACACATGGAGATGGGAACTGTATTCCATTTATCTGTAAATCGGGGGGAGGGGGATTTCTATATTAGAGGATTTCTCTTACAGTATACTACAGCTGGCAAGACAGCTCTTCCAAAACTGCACACTTTTTAGGTGCCCCACAGCAGCACCGTATCCTTTCCTTGCTGAAGTTGATCAACCTTACTTCTTCCTGCATGCTTTGATACCTCTTCCCTAAAAGGTTTCTTTCTGTCAGAGGGAAACCAAAGGGGAGGGGGGGAGGGACTGGCTAACCTTTCCCTGTTTTCCTCCAAGTCTTTCCCAAATACTTTCCAAACTTTTATTTAAAAGAATGAAAAAACTTGCTATTGAGAAATGTTTGCCATCAAGGAATGGAGGGGAAGCCTTTCCATCTAATCCCTTGCTTTCAAGCCTAAAATAGTGACAGGAGGACTCTGCAGAAAAGAAAATAATCAATCACACGTATAAACTAGTGGTTAAGGCACCAGGCTAGAAATGAGGAGGCTCTGAGTTCTAGTCCTGCCTTAGGCATGGAAACAGGCTGGGTGACTCTGGGGCAGTCACTCTCTCTCAACCCAACTCACCTCACAGGGTTGTTGTTGTGGGGAAAATAGGAGGAGGAAGGAGTATTAGGTATGTTCACCACCTTGAGTTATTTATAAAAATAACAAAGGTGGGATAAAAAAATCTAAAAGAAAATTAAAAGAAGAAAGATAGAAAACAAAAATAAATAATAGCTGGAAAAAAAAAATTGAGATCCTCTTAAAGTCCTTCCTTAATTGCTTTTTAATGTTTGCTTAATGTGAGGGCTTTGTGGGAAGTTACTTCAGCAAGGAAAAAGGAATCAAACTTGGTTATTTAAAAAACATTAAACTGACATTGCCAATGCTGCAGAAAATGTCTGCATAATACAGCTAAAAGCTTGGGAGATGGGAATAACAGGAAGATGCTGCTGAAGAATGAAAGGCAATTTGGTGGCAAACTGTTCCCTTACATTGTATAATGTTTCTCCTTAATCCAGAAAGGAAGGAAGGAAGGAAGGAAGGAAGGAGCTCTTTGCTAGACACTTCGCAAATACTAAAAAGTCTATCCCATTGTGTTTTACATATCACAACATTGGCACTAAAGTTAAGTTTTACACCTACGATCTGGTTCAAATGGGATGGAGCACCAGAAGATGCACGGGTCGCGTTAGCTGCTTAAGGGAAGACAACGGGTCACGCCAGCTGACGAGCCTGCCTGCGCTGGCAGACCCGCCGGCAGCCCTGGAAGCGGAACGGACTGGCGGGACGACAGAAAAGCCCCGCGGACGGCGACGGCGACTGAAAAGAGTCGAAGCCGTGGAAGCGCTCGCGGAACCGCTCATCCAAAATGCCACTTTCGGCTTGGGACCAGCCTCCAAAAGCGCACCGAAGGGTGAAAGAGAGTTTGCCCGACCGATGCGGAGTTTCTTTGGAAGAGTGAAACGCTCCTCACCCGGGGCCCAGCGAGCCCCGCTGAATTCAGGGGAAGGGGCCAGGAGTAGGCACGCCAAGGCCTGGCGATGCGAGGCGGCCACCCTTTCTCGACGGGGCCAGACCCTTAGCGAAGCTCGCCTCTCCCGCCTCCGTTACCTCCTCGAAGAGCTCCAGGCTGTAGGTGTTGTCGTCGTCGGCGAAGAAGAGCACCCCCGGCTGCGGGGCTGGCAAATGCTGGTGCCGCTGGCGGATCCACGCTAACCCCGCGTTGCGCTGCTCCGTGCCCCTCCGCTGCGCCCCGCGCATCTATCCCCCCAGCGGCCACACCCGC